ATTGTCCCGAACATCTGGTTTTCAGTAGTATATTGTTTCTGAACATGATTGAGGTTTCATGATGCTAACCTGGCTGGTTAAACTGGTGACCATAGGTTTCTTAGGCTTCAGTTTCTCTCAGCTATCAAAGCCCATAGCAAAGGACTGTGGGAGCTGTAGTTCAAAATGTTTTGCAGAACTACCAGTCCATTAAGGCAAAGCAATAAATATGGAGCCTGTAAAGACTTGTCCAGTCAGAATCATCTATCATCTGTTGCTGCACTGAAGTAGCTCTGAGGAATATTTAGTTTGCATAATGGAGTAGTAACTTGTGATTAACTAAGCTAGCATGTCATCTAAATCCAGTCTCAAGGGAGGGAATCTTTATTGTACAAATATGGTAACCAAACATTGTGCTAACTAAGCTGTCCTTCTCTGTTTGGGTGGTACATAGCAATTTTCCTCAGTAGATAAGTGAGGAGGCTCTTCTCAACTATTTCCATCAACTGATTATGGTGTCTAGGTACATCCAGAAACATGGCAAGCATTGCCCGCTTCTGGTTTGAAGGGCTTCGACGGCAGGCAGGAATCCGTGATTGTGCGCGGTTTCTGCCTGGGCTTGCTGCTGGAGCACCCTGAGCCGGCTGGCTTCAAGGCTAAGCCACCTTGTAGAGGTGATGAAGAGGGGGGAGATTGCCAGCAGGGTCGAGGAGAGCCGCATCTCTTCTCCTCAGCTGGCCAAATTCCCTTTCAGAAATGGCCACCTCAAAGAAGCACTCAACCGGAAAAGAAAGTGCAGGAGGAAGATAAGGAGTGAAAGTCTTGGCTGACTGGGCTAAAAAGCAACAACTAAGGTACCCTGGAATTTAAACTTTATAAAAGATAACATCGCTCCCAAAGAAGAGTCGGAAGCAGCGAAAGAAAGTGAAAAGGGAAAAATTTTTCTTCTTCTCTCTCCTTCCTTACATTGACAACTAAGAGATCTGAATAAGAAATTGGAAAAACCCACTTTGGCATCAATAGGCAATTAAGCTGAAAATATAATTAAATGCCAAAGGGATAATAAAGATTTCTGGACACTAAATTTTTTTTTTTTATAAGCAGGAAGGGAGAGGAAAAGAATAAGGGCAGGATCTGGAGGGAGGAGACTGCCTGGACTTCAAAAAAATCTAAAGTAAAATAAGACTTCTAAAAGATTCATTTTAATTGGAACTTTGCAACTAAATAGTAACCCCAGGAAGAGAAAGTAAAAAAAGAAGAAAGTGTAAAAAGAAACAGCTTGTGTGTATTTGGATTGCTTGGTGACTTTTGGATTTTTGGTTATTATATTTGAATGACTAAAAACAATTGGGTCGTTGTTTAAATTTTTTTACAATGGTATCACTTCTGGATGAATTGAAAATGGAACTTAAAAAATATAAAGATGCACAAGAAGGGAAGGGCTCTTTTGGCTTCATTTTTCAATTCTTAGAAATTGAGATCTGTAACTACAAGAAACAACAAGAAAAGACTGCTCAACAAGAAGATTGGAACAAAGAAGAAGCCATCTTTAATGAACAAGTAACTCTATGTGGGGAAGAAAGGCGAAAGGGGGGGAAAGAGAATGGAGAATTTAAGACTTAACAGCCAAAAAAGGGAAAAATAATTTGAAAAGTTGATGTAATGTTGGAAAGCAACAGAAAAGGGGAATATAGAAGAGGGAAATGGAGGTGGAGAGACAGGGGGGTAAAAAGGGGAGAGAGAAGAAGAGAGGGAAGAAGGAAAGGAAGAGAAGTTACAAAGGTTTGGAGCAAGATGTAAAGAAACAGGACCTATTTAGAGATAATGGGTGAAAATCTAATTGAAAAAGGGATTCTGTGAAGGTACATAAGATTGTATTGTTATATTTGTAATGGAAATAATGTTAGAAAACTGGAAACAATATATGATTAAAAAGAGGGATAAAATAGTTAGTGTAATTTAGTGAAATGATTGTGAATAAAATAAATGAAATAAAATAAATGAGAAAATTGAATTAGGAAGGAACGGGAACATTTTCATTAGTCAATGTTTTATAAAACATAAGTGAAGACGGGGGTGAATTAACTATGGAAAGTTTATAATTGTTCCCATAGAAGTATGATATTTATTTGAAAAGTAATGTGCAAAATGTTAAGATTTAAATGAATATTAATATTAATGATAGAATTGAATTGGAATGGATTGTTGTTTTAATTATATTATACATTTATAATTTTTTTCTTTTTTCAAGAATACAGTGTGTAGTTTTAGAATGTACCAAGCAGAATCCGAATGGAAGTTATGTATTATATTAAGGGTTGTAATTTTAAGGGAAAGATATAAAGGCGTCATACTCCAATCAGTAATTACAGGAGAAATTTTGTTTAATGAGAATATATAGTAGACAGTTGAAACAGGACAGACAAAGAATATAAGTATAATGATTTGAATTGAGATGAAATAAATAAAATAAAATTAAGAAAGTTAAAAGAGGGGAGAAGCTATACAGAAAATGTAGAATAGTAATAAGATATGGAATGGAATATAAAAATGAGCATGAACTTGAATTTGTGTCTGTACGAAGAGATGTAACCCGGGATTATGCTGCTTTCAAAAAATATGTTTTATGTTTTTATATTTTATGTTTTGTTCGTTTATGTTTGTTTTTAAAAAGCAATAAAATTTACAAAAAAAGAAGAAAGAAACATGGCAAGCATTCTATTAGGAAGAGTGATGGATGAGTCACCCAAACATGTTCCCTGTAAAAATCCACCACAACGTCAGTGACAACAAAAGCTGTATGTTCTCATTCCCTGAATGTGTTCTCATTCCAATAATAAAGCAGCTTATAAGATGAAAGGGATATTTAGAAATCAGATAAAAGCACAAATCAATTCACAAGTTCCTCCAGAGTCACTGGGAATAGAAATCCCCATGAGACTTTGGATAGTCCTTGCCTTTCCATCTAACTTTCCACAGCTGGGTTTTGTGGTAAGGATAAGGTGAAAAGAGAGATAGACTCTTGCAAACTGCTATGAGCTCCTATGCTGGCTGGAGAATTCTGGGAGTTGAAGTCCACAAGTCTTAAAGTTGCCAAGTTTGGAGACCTCTGTCCTAGAGGAAAAGAGCTACAAATCACAGAAGTCCCTCTAATCTGGATATCACATTCTCTGTTTAACTGCCTCATTGCAAGTGGTTTTGACAACAATGACATTTGTATGCTGCTCCTAAAAGGCATCCAGTCAGGTTAGCACAGATATGCTACCCATTGACATAGAAATATATGCATGATGATATATTTCTAAACATTTCACATAAAAATCTCCCCGACACCGTAATGCCTCTTCTTTTTTACAAGATGAAATTATTTTCAAAATGCACTGACACATTGAACTGTGGGCAAACTGACTTTATATGGGGATATGTGTGAATTCTCAGCTGTTGCCTGCAAGATATCAATGTTTTAAGCTACACGTATTCCTTTTCTTCTTTCAAAGTTCTCCCTTTCACCCGAGATCAGGAGTTTCAAATTCAAGGCCTGCGGGCCAGATCTGGCCCACAGGGTGTTTAAGATACGGCCTGTGGGGCTACCCTGTGCAGGGCAACAAAAGGATACCCAGCCAATCAGCTGAGATTTGGGAGGCAGAGAATAGATGGGGGCGGGGCCAATCAGAGGTGGGATGTGCCGGTTCTTCGAACTACTCAAAATGTCTGCTTCCAGTTCTCTAGAACTGGTCAGAACCTGCTGAATACCACCTCTGGAGTGACATCAAACTGGCCACGCCTACCCTAGCCACACCCACTCTGCCCACCCCAAGGTCAAACAGAACCCTGATGATGTCCCTCGGTGAAATCAAGTTTGACAACCCATCACCCCTGCCCTAGATAAGAACCTCTGCCAGGGGTGGGCCTGTTCATGGGAACACTTAGCCTGCTTTGGACCAAGACTTTCCAGAAAAAGATCACTATCCTGCTTGATAGAATGATGCCTGCTGAATCTCTGGGATGGGGAATACAGAATATTTGGGATGAGGAATACCCTTTGAATAATGACTGTTCATAGTCACCCTGAAAAAATGGGATTATGACTATTTTTCACACTTTATGATCACTGCAGCATCCCTTTGGTCATAGGATCAAATGTGGATGCTTGCCAACTGGCATCTATTTATGACAGTTGCAGAGAGTCCCAGGGTTATATAAGCTCCTTTTGTTGACCTTCTGGCAAGCAAAGGCAATGGGGAAGCCAGATTCACTTGACATCTGTGTTATTAACGTAACAACTGCAATGATTCCCCTAACAGCAGTGGCAAGAAAGTTTGGAACATGGGGCAAAACTCATTTCACAAATGCCTTGTTTAGCCACAGAAATGCTGGGCTCACCTGTGGTCTAAGTCGAGGACTGCCTGTAATGATTTGATTAGTTTAACTCTTTAGCATAACTGTGCTCTTCCCTCTGTGGATTAATTAATATGTTAAAACTACCCTCCCCTCCCTGCCATCCAGCCATATACAGTCATAACTACAGAGGTGATTCAGTTGGTTTGTTCCAGATATAGAGAAAAATCTATTCTTTAATTGGGATGTTATTGAAAGAAAGAGAGGGAAAGCTTTGGGGTGGCTTAGGGATAATTGATAAGTTGTGATGATTAGGATCTTAGGATAGGGTGGGTGTAGAAAATCCATTTTCTTCGGTTTCTAATTCAGCCCTGGACTTTTGCTGAATGTTTTTGACCCAGTCATTGCTTCTCAGCCCAGCCTACAAGATTTACAAGATTATTGCTGGAATAAAATTGGAGTATACTGGTACGATATGTATACCAGCTTGTTCCAGTATTTGAAAAATATTTAGAACATATGAAAAATGTCCAGAAAGCAGAAATGAACCACAACCCAACTTCCCTTTCAACTTTATCTAACCTCTGATTTTCGTGTGACAGTTTAGGAGAAACTAAAAAGACAACATCATTTTCAGGTTGTAATAAAACCAGCAACATGAAAGAACATTTCAAGATAAATACCTTTTCTTGGGCTCGGCTGAGCTGCTTTTGAACCCTCTTAGCAAACAGGCCGGCACCTCCTGTTTTGCCTTCTGCCATGGCTGTGTCTTACTGTGCAACTTCTGTTTTCAGCATCAGCTTTATTTGTGGTTTAATTTTTTTTTCTTTAAGGAAGGAAGTCGAGATGTGTTAGTGATCACTAGGCTGGGCTCTGCCTTACCATTGGTTTGAGGCAAATGTGCTTCCTCTGCTGGGTTCTGGGTAAATGAAGTTTCACTCACAGACAATGCAAGGTGGAATGTTGTTCTTGTACGTGTCAGGCCAGAAAGACCTTAGTGAACAAAACTTTAATTAAGGTCAAAACCCAGCACCAGGTAAATAGAAAACAAAAGGTGCAATAGCTATATTGTGCAAACAAAATAACAAATGCATGGATCTCATGAGTTTATTACAAAAAACTAAATGCTGACTGTCCCAAAGATGCTTTTTTTCAAGAAGCAATTGGACTTTCTGTTTTTTCTTTGAAGATGTTTCCCTTCTCATCCAAGAAGCTTCTTCAGCTCTGACTGGATGGTGGGGAATGGAAGGATTTATACTCCTTGCAGACAGCTGGTAATTTGCATTCTTTTAGCCCAAGGAGTATAAATCCTTCCATTCCTCACCATCCAGTCAGAGCTGAAGAAACTTCTTGGATGAGAAATAAAATGTCTTCAAAGAAAAAAACAGAAAGCCCAATTGCCTCTTGAAAAAGCATCTTTTGGACAACCATGACCTGGATGACTGAAAATCTCCGTAGACACTAAACGCTGACGGTTGCCTTATCTTGGGCCTTAATCTATTGTTGTATGTTGTATGGAAAAACTGCTGCCTGACTATTTAAGTAGTATACTTTCTCATTTTCTAGGTGGCCTGGAAATTTTTATTTTTATGGTAGTCCTTGGATGGGAAGCCACTGACTCCATGGATATAGTCAACTGTAGTTACATTGATTGAGAGCAGCTCAGAATTCGTTATAAGCCAGGCAACGGTTAGAGCTCTCGGGTGGTTGATCGTCTCTTCAATAGTTACAGCTAAACTCATGCATGCTTTTGTTTTCTCATTTAATGTATTGTATTCCTTCTAAGAATGGTCTTAGGTCAAAGTCAGTCCATCCCCATTTGTTTATGTAAGAGCAAACATAGATCTTACAAATCTTCTTCCTGAACAGATTTTGTAATTTCCCATCTCGTTTAGATATCTCATTGCCTGCCACTCTTTTCTGTGCAGCGTGAAACTCAGCCACGATGTCTTCCTTTCAAAAATATTGCCATTGTTTGTTGGTTTTTTTAAAAATATTTCCATCTTATTAACTCTAGAGAGTCCTACAATTTTGGTCACTAGTGGTCTACTTCCTTCAATAGTTTAACTCATAATAGGACTCTGAATGTTTTGAAAATAATTGGAAAGAAAGCTTTAGCTCTTTGCAAGCACAGCTTTTCTCTACTATTCATTCAAGCAAATTAGGGCAGGAGGGAGGGAATTTTTTTGGGTCAGAGCCAGATTTAAGGGGGTGGGGCTTGATGTGTTGAATTGACTTTGGTGAAAGTTGCTTAAAACTTTCTCCTTCTGTCCCGGCCACTTTTTACATGATTGAAAGCGTTTTAACAATCTGCATCACGATTTGGTTTGGCGGTAGCAGTGCCTCAGATAGAAAGTCCATTCAGAGAGTGGTAAGGACAGCAAAGAAGATTATAGGAGGCTCCCTTCCCGTTATTCAAGATACCGCTTATAAGCACTATGTGCTTGGAGCTCAAAGCATTATTAGAGACCCCGCACACCCTCTCTACAGTCTGTTTCTGTTGCTCCCCACTAGGAGGAGCTTTCGAAGTATTTCTAGCAGGATTACCAGATTCTGTAACAGCTTTGTTCCCTATGCCATCCGTCTGGTAAACTCGCAAGATTCGTTTTTCTCACCATGTACATGTGTACATCCAAACTAGATTGTTTGTTCCTCTGTATCATAGAATATATGTGGGTATATGCATTTTTTGGGTCACATTTATGTAGTGTATATTGGAGGTAATGACCCTTTGAAAGCTGTATGCAATCAAATTTCTTTTTAATGTATGCCAATTAGTGTACATTTAAAGTAACGATAAAGTTATTCTAACCGAAACTCTAAGCTCAGCAGCACCATTTGTTTTTCCATCTCACTTGGAAGCCTACAAAAATCTGGCTGCCTTAATAAATTGCAGAGAAATGCTGCGTTCACAAGAACCCTCAAACCCTTCTCTTAAATTATTTTTGAAGCGTGCACAATTTTTACAATGTGATCTATAGAGGGAAGTGTATAAATGGAAAATAATTGTCAGAGGTGACATTCATTTTCTAGCCTATACTGAAGATAAGGGAGTTTCAGTATTATTTTAAATTGTTCTGCAGATTATGAGGTTTGATATTTTACATTACTTCCTCTTTGAGGAACATTCATTGATATAAAGAGAAGATGAAGATGGCGAGTGGGACCTCATCGAAACGTCGTCAAGATACTCTCAATCTTACACGGGAAAAGACCCGAACACACCAAGACTCGCATATGTATGTATGTATGTATGTTATTCAGCTTTGTTCGGGTATTTTCCCACGTCATTATAGTTGTGCTTTTAAAGTTGTAGCAACGTTTCGGCAGAATCTCATCTGCCATCAGGCTTCTGTATTGTGTTCATCTGTGAGTCAGACTTTTACAGTTGTTTCAGTTTTAAATTTGGGGCTAGCCTACTGCTGTGACAGAATGGTTTTGTCTTCATCCTGATTGGTTGGGAGTCTTGGTCTGTGTTTATTGGTCTTGGAGTTTGCTGTGTTCTGCTTGATTAGTGTTTCTAATATCTTCTGTCTGTTTTGTGGCCTTTTTTGTGTCTTGATTGGCTGGCAACATTGTGTTCCTGTATTGGAGGCTTTTAGTGCAGCTTGGCTCCTAGTAAATGGATGGCTATCATTTGTTAGGAAGCTAGGTTTCATCTGGGTGCCTGGTTGGGGTGTGTTTGAGCTGGAGGTATCAGGGGGAATCTGTTTGTGCCCAGGTGTTTGCCTGGCTAGTGGTATGGAGATTTTTTTGTTTGTGAGTGCAGGCTTCCAAATAATTGACAGTCTGATGGAATCATCTCTTCTATTCATGCTTTCAGGTCTTTTTTCAATCTCTATGGCTTCATACATATACATATACATATACACATACACATAGACATACACACACACAAATACATATACATTCAGTATATATATGGCGTGTGTGTATGTGCACACGTGCACACACACACACAAATATACATACATATAACTTTGTTAAAAGTTTTTTTAACAAAAAGAGGAAAAAGTAAAAAACAAAAAACAGCAAAAACACCAGACCAATGGGTTATAGGAAGTTAGGAATGAAATCCTTCAACTTTAGGGAACAGAAAAACTATGCATCATTGGGAAGTTTATCTGTTTTTAAAAGGAAGGTTGTAGGGAAAACCCCCCCTAATAATTTGAATACTTTCTGCCATGTTTTGAACTGCAACCTTCTATTTGCAAGGCAAAAGTTGTCATATAACCATTCTGCTACTACAGCATTTACAGTAAAGATGGGTTTAAAAGACATTAGAACAAAATAGGTCGGATAACTTGTGGTACCTTTGTGTAGCTGAATGTGAATGCTTTAACGTTCTCTATATAGATAAGTGAGAGAAGTTTGGCATATTGGTGAAAGCACCAGGGTGGAAACCAGGAGATAGTGAGTTCTGGTTCCACCTTAAGCATGAATGATCTTGGGCCAGTCACTCTCTCTTAATCCTAGGAAGCAGTCCAGAGCAAACCATTTCTGAAATCTTGCAAAGAAAACTGTAAGGAGTTGTCCAGGCAGTTACCATCAGTCAAGACTGACTTGAAGACACCAGAATAGACAGACAGACAGACAGACATATATGTTCAAGAAGATCTACCCACAGGAATGAAAACAATTGTCTATTTCTTTTCTGGAACAGAAAAGTGGAAGAGCAGAGCAGCAGGGGAATTGTCCAGCAAGAGGATGGTGAAAGCCTATAGTTTCCACTAAAACCTTTGTAAGCTATTGCTAAAGTGTTTGAATCTAGACAGCATTTTTTAAAGAGAGGCTCCGTGTCGAGCGTGGCATGAGCAGGAACAACTTAAAACAGTAAGTTCCGTTAATGCCTTTGGGTTAGCTTATTTAACTCATCAAATCCCATCACTGCATTTGAGGTATAAGAATATCCATATCTACATTCACCTACCCAATAAAGAGAAAGCTGAGTAAAGTCAGGCCAAGGCAAGGACCAATGGGGTGTGTAGAATAGAACTATCTGTAAATGATGGATTTCTCATTTGATTTATATCCTACCTTTCAGCCCTGAAAGCAGCTTGTGCCTCCCCAAAGAAGCAAGGAAACAACTAGCATTTATGTAAACTACTTGAAGTGCTACATACAGTGCAGGATACAATTTAATAATTTAATTATAATATTCGTATTACTATCTAGACCAGGAAGTTCTGGCAACGTTAATCCTGATTGTTCCTTTAGGGAACATGATCCCAGTATATATGATTTTGCCCGTCTTGGAGAAGGTGGGTTCCAGAGTCTTCCCCGGTGAGAGGGGAAGGGAATCATGGTTTAGGAAGCAATTCTTCTCTAGTATGTATTTCATATTACATGTTTTAATAGCAGCGAGGATTATCTTTGCACAATATTGGAAAGATGAAGAAAGACCTCAAGATGAAGAGATAATTAAGAAGATATTAGACTGTGAAGAAATGGAAACTGCAAATTGTTCTGTTCTGACAAACACATGGCTAGCAGTTGGCTCATAAATGTGTAAAACATGCTTTTGGTGTCACTTTATGGGAACATTCACAATAATCCTTCATGGCTCAAAATAGCAATAGCACTTAGCACTGAGACTTATATACCGCTTCACAGTGCTTTAAAGCCCTCTCTCAGGAGTTTACAAAGTCAGCATATTGTCCCCCCAATAATCTGGGCCTTCATTTTACTGACCTCGGAAGGATGGAAGGCTAAGTATCAACTCTGAACAAAAGAAAATAAAGAATGTTAAGGATTTGAAATAAACAGCAAAAAAACAAAATAAGATTTTGATCTAAGAAAGTTATAAATGGATTAAGGGTGCAGATAAATTTGGAATATTGACTTTTATTAGAAGATTTGGGAATTAACTACAAAACATAAATAGTTTCTTATGGGAAACAAACTTATTTTGGCTATTCTGGCTATAACAAAGATCTTTGTCATAACAAAGATAAGCAATGATTTTAGAAACTGGACATTAGAGGAAACTAACAATTGTAAGCAAAGGAAAAAAATATAAGAATATTCTTGATGTCAGTTAATACTTAGGCTTACAAAAATGACATAAAATATTTCAGGACCACAAATATGAAAGGAGAATATTTGAATTTTACATACACATTATACATTTATGATCTTTAGGAGACATACAAATGTTTTAAATATCGATAGTTGGTATTTCAAGCCAAAACATCTGTAGAGATAAAAAATAACATAAAAAATCTATTATAGTTTAAAAGGATAGTGACTAGATTTATTCCCTCGAACCCAACCCAGTGAAGGCCCTCAGCCTGTGATAGTAGCCTAGCTCTAGAACAAGTTTCCATTCCTATTTTGTAAATCATCTCTTGTTTGGGAAAAGGGTTGGGCCATTTGTGGACATACAGGCACTATGAAAGCAAATGGCAACTTGCAACTCTTGCTGCACTGACATGACTTAATGTGCAAAATATATTCTTATTTTCTTCCAACCCTCAATTTGTGGTTGATGCCCATGAATCAAACTTTTATTTATGGGCCTAAAATCATTACTGAGATCTTATGACACTGTGTTACATTTTGAATATTATATTTTGTTAATGATTTATGTTAATTTATTTTTTTTATCATGGATGTTTTATATGTCTGTAATGAGGTAAACACCAGATTCGAGAGTATGCAATTAAATGAACAAATAAGGAAATAAATCATTACAATTGTTTTCCCACCCACATAAATTGCTGCTTCTTTTTGCTGGTACTCCAAATCATTTAAGGAAAAGACTTGGTGGAAATAAATAATTGTGTCAAACTTTCACTAACATACACACACCCCAGTATATCAAACTGGCCCTCTTTTACCCATTTTATTTATGGCTAAATGGGTATTGCAAATCTGGCCTAAACCAGGCTGTCAAACTGGCGGTCAGCGGGCTGGATGTGTCACGTGTAGGCCACACCCACCCCAACTCCACAAAGGCAAAAAAACGTTGCGATACATCCCAATACATCACATGACGCGATCGAGTTTGACACGCATGGTGGTCTAAACTGTCAATCCATCCGCCTTGTTCCACAATTGTTCAGTTGTGAACACCTGCCTTCTGGAATGATCCCCTCCCACGACATCATTGGTCCCAACTCTTTTGCCTTCAAAAAAAAACACCCCCCTGAGGTTTTCCTTGGGCATTAACCCAAGATTATTGGAACTCCAAATTGGAGAGGATGCAAATGTGAGATTCTGCCTGCTGGCTTACATCTGTTTGGATTTGAAATGAAAATCTTTATCCTGTTTTGGTCCATTTCCTGTCATCTAATCTTGTATGCAGTGTTTGAGTTGGATGGACGTATCACTAAAGAAACAAAACAAGCAAATGAAGTTGAAGAGAATCAGCTGTGAAAACTCCCAGAGTTTGTCTGACCTTTTCCCTTATCTAGTTCCCATAAAAGAATTTCTAAACCAGGGGATGAATAAAATGACCAGGCCTTACATGTGATGGATCTTTGATTCTATGACAAACTAACATTATTCATCCAGGAAATATAAGCTGAGACAAGAATAAACACAGTAAGCTTTGAGTAAATATTGTGTCCGCTTCTGGAAACAAAGCTAGTGATTTAACGGACAACATATCTGCTGTTTAAAGGCCCTTCTGGATCCCCATGGAATGCAAAGCAAAGATGGGAGAGCTACATCACCAAATCAATTGTGCTCTCTGGTTTTGCCACAAAGCATGAAATAGCTGCCGAAATAAACCAAGGTAGGACAATGTGTAGCCTGCAAATGAGTCATCCACCAAGCAGACGACTGATGCTTAGCTTTTGCAGCGTAGTTATTTTGAAGAAATTTGGATTCTAGAGATATTGCAATTAAGAAGTGGATACATAACCAAATCCTATCACCAAAGTTTGATCCCCAAGGTAAATGTGCCAGAGTTTTCTCAGATAACAAAAAGTTTTTCCTTAGGCAACAGAGATTAGATGGAGGATTCTTGGCTTTGCAATTCAAAAGAGCTTTGGATCCAAAGTGCTGTTTCCAAGCCTTGAGAACTTTTAAGATGTATGGAATTCAACTCTTTTAATTTCCCAACCAACATCCTTTCCCTTGGCTCTGCATGGGACAGACCCCACTGGAGGTTTTGCATCCAGTACTGAAATGCTCCATCTCAAGAAGATTCACAGAACCTGGAATGGGTTCAAAGCAACGAGAATACAGGATAACAGATCTGGAAGAAACCTTGCAGGTCTTCAATGCCTGCCTCAAGCAGGAGACCCTAAACCACTCTGGATAAATGGCTATCCAATCCCTTAAAGCAATCCCGTGGTGTTGAAGCATCCCAATTTCTGGAGGCAAATCATTCCACTAATGAATTGTTCACGTTGACAGGAAATTTCTCCTGTCGTATAGTTTAGAGAAGCACAGCTTAGCATTGCTGAATTTGCATACATTCTGCCAAACTGAAGTGGTCCAAGGCAGAGCAGAAGGCTCAGCTAGATAAAGGCAGCTGTGGCAGGCAATGACCTTCCTGAAACTCCCTTCTGTTGTTAGCAAGTTTTTGCTTTTTACACCGTGTTTTTAATAGCATGAGATTACCAGGCATCCAGCACACACCATGCTATCCTTAACTGTCAAGCCCCAACAGGATGAATTGCAGCAGATAGCATGATCCAGGAGTGGGAGATAAGCTTGCTCTGCAGAGTTGATGCCAGCTGTCCATTTGCTGTACCAGAGTGATGGTGTCAGTATGCTTAAGAAGAACGATAAGCCTAAGTTTCATTTTGACTTCCCACCTTGTAAAATGGGAGGAGGATCTCCCAGTGATGGAGAACATAACGTAGGTGTGGAGAATCTTTGGTTCTTCACTTACCGCTGAACCACCTCGCCATTGGCCATATCGATGGGGATGACTGGGAACTGAAGTTCAACAGCATCTGAAAAGCCACATGCCCCTCATATTTCATGCAACGGATAAGTAGACTGCCTGTCTAGCTTCCTCATTTTTTTCTTTCAAGGTATCAAGATCAAACTAGGGCAGAGCGAAATGGCAGATCTATATAGCTAGCATAGCGTAGAGGTGAAGGTGTCAGAATAGGAACACGGTTCAGATTCAAGTCTCCAATGGAGATGGAGTTGACTGGGTGATTTTGGTTAGTGTCATTCCTATGAGATACAGAACCAAAAATAAAATCTACAGGACTAGAATGATACCACAGCAGTAGGCTATAATAATATGGTAAAATCTTTTAAGTCTGATTGTACTATTCTCTCTATTATATCCTTCAAAGTAGAGAGAAGCCAGCTTCAGCATCTTCCTAATATTGTTTCTGTTTGCAGGATCTAAGCAGTGCTTTTGTCCTTTCTTTGCTTACGTAAGTTTCTGAATATTGGCTTCAATGCCACTTCTCTGGATCTCAACAGCAGTTTCTCTTTCTTTAGCCAAATCATTCTGTCAGAGAAATTATTGCAAAGATAAAATTAGGGGAGAACCCCTAATTATGTCAAACTCTTAGAAGAAAGGCAAGCATTGATGCAGTAAAAAAGCACACCGATACTGACTTTATGCCGATCCTCGTCAACCAGGTCATGATTGTTCAGAAAGTTTTTTTTCAAAAGGCAACCGGCTTTGTTTTTCCTTGAAGATATTTTGCTTCTCATCCAAGAAACTTCATCAGTTCTGGCACGATGGTGTGGGAGGGAATGGAAGGATTAGTTCTGACTCTCCCCATCCTATCAGAACTAATCCTTTCATCCCTCCCCCATCCTGCCAGAACTGATGAAGCTTCTTGGATGAGAAGTGAAATCTGCTCAAGGGAAAACAAAGTCCAGTTGCCTTTTGAAAAAAATCACCTTTGGGACATCTATATTAGCTTGCAGAATGCTTACTTGAATAGGGTTCTTGACAGACTGGTTCTTAAGATATGTTAGAATTCCACACAAATGTTCACCACCATTGCAAATGCTCATCTAATTATGAGGACATTTATTCACAATCTGTTCATTTCAATATTAATGGTCTTATTTGATTGACTGATTGATGATTGATTGGAATTAAGAAGACGAACAACTTAAGCACCTATGTCCCTGAATCATCAAGGGATACTGCTTTTATTATTCCTTTGTATATTGTGTGAATTCTAATAATATTTGCTTCTGGTGATACATTTCTGGGCAGGATCTGGCCAGAGGGACATAAAACACCAGGTTGCATGAATATGTTCAGAGCTGCGCTTCTTGAAAGATAAGAGTAATACAATGTCAAAGCTGCCAAGGAGCAGAGAAACTGGAATTGGAAGAGAAAAGATGAAATGAAGATTCACCAGAAACAAGAATATAGGCCTGTTTTATATTAAATAGCAGTGTGGCAAATATACAGTACAATACTAGTTCTTTCATTGCCCACTGTCATCAGCAATCAGATGGAGACCTGCAGTTTCCAAAAACAACATTCATGATTTGGCAATAGAGTGGGTTTTTTTGTGTGCCCTCAAGTCAGTCTTGACTCCTAGTGACAATATTGGCAGGTTCATGCAATTTTCTTGGCAAGATATTGGAAGTGGTTTGCCCTTGCCTGCTTGCTCAAGCTGACAGAGTATGACTGATCCAAAATCACACAGCTGGCTACAGCAAAGAGTCTCTTTGGTTTTATCCTGCTCCTTTAACCACCACATCAAATGGATCCTCCTGGCATTGATTAGATCTCTCTCAATACTAGAGACACTTCTTCCATTTACTTGATGCAAATCATGGACAGATTCAATGGTTTGGAATGACTAGAAGTGACTTGTATCCAAAATTTGGGCAAGGTGCTGCAGAACATACAAGGACAACCTAGGCAATAGTTCAGCACATTCAGAACCCAACTATCCAATAGCTTGGCATAATTGCAACCTTTATCACAAATTGGAACCTCCTCATTGGTTTAGGTTCAGATTGACTGATTCTAGTCATCAGGAGTATTTTTTGAGAACAACCTCCAAGAAAGTCTCAATGTCTCAACACGCTTATGGACCTAAAAAACAAAGTAAAAAAAACCCCAACCCCACGAATCCCCAACTTAAAAAATGCATGGGTAGGACCTAGCAGTTTTCAGGACAACTCCACTTAACCTTCCAGCAACATTATTGCTGTTCTACTTCGGATGCACAAAGATCCGTTCCACACTTAGGGTCTGCTCAGTTCCTTCATTCTTATAAATGTCTTGGTCACCAGCCACACCAGACGGAAATGCATCCTTCTATAGATAAGAGGGCTAGAAAATAAAGTAAGAGTTGAGTCATGAATTTGGAATCTTTCCATAAATTTCAAAAACGCCACTTAGAAATATTGTCCGATAAGGAACAGAAGTAACAAAGTACTTGAGGCAAAATGGTTTATGACAATTAATAGGAGTCACTTCCTACTTTCATCGCTCTTGGTGGCCCCATGGATATGTCCACTAAACAATGTTTTGCACAGTATCATTTTGGTTGCAGTGCTTTCAAAATGACACTTAACTAAAACATGTTACTTATAAAGATAGCTAAAGAGATATTTTGCAGCCAATCCTTTTCTCTCACCCTTGCAAGGTAGTCCAGGCAAGAAGCACAACTAGGGGTATTAGCTCTATCTTTATTGCAAGGTTATATTAACAGAAGCTTGTAAGACTGAAAGTATTTCTCCCCCTCCCCTCCTTTTACTCTTTGGAAAACTAGGGAGGGTCCCTTCTGAAATGCTTCCCATGTTTTTCCCCCATCTGCAGATTAAACTGCCTCTTATCACACCATTACTTAGTTCTTCATTCTGTCTCCCAAGGTCATTTTCACATACCATTTTATTTTCCCAGAAGGATTCAAAGCATACTTGTTTTATTAATGTTTTGCATTGGTGACCTGGAGAACTCAAGCAGTTGAATAAAATCAAACAATCAACCAGAAGTCATGTTTGCGTAATGTCTTATGTTTGATAGAATTTAACTTCCTTTCTATGGAAAAAACACCTGGAAAAAGTGGACAAAGTAAGAGATGTTTGAGTAGAGGCTTTCAGGGAGAACTAGTCAATACAAAGTTTAATCTGATCCATAGTAAAAGTAACCAAAATATGTCGATTCCACAAAATGGGAACTGTTTATGTGTGATGTAGGGATATAAATAATCCAGTTGTGAACCATGTTTGTGAACAGAGTCTAAAAGGATGAAACCTATTCTATTCTATTCTATTCTATTCTATTCTATTCCATTCCATTCCATTCCATTCCATATTCATATTCTATTCTATTGGAAGAAGCAATGACAAAAATGTCACATGCTCTTCCAGCCCAATTTCATTAACAGCTATTCATTTAGTGATCATTTGAAGTTACTGAAAAAAGTGACTTACAATTGTTTGTATGTGACTTACACATACAACCATTGCAGTATCCCCAGGGTCACATAATCAAAGTTGGGTGCTTGGCAATTGTTAATTTGGCAACATGACAAATGTACCATCCCTGGGTCATGCGATCACCATTTGTAACCTTCCCATCCAGCTTCCATCAAACAAAGACAACTGCATGATTCACCTAATTACTACAGTGATTTGCTTAACAACTGTGGCAATAAATATAAAACGGGGTAAAATTCACTGCCTTGCTTGGCAACAGAAATTTGGGGTGTAAATTGATGACTCCCGGTATAGCTTATATGATTACCAATCTCCTTTAAATGAAATAGAGTCATTGAAGAATAGGGCTGGGTTAGGATGTGTGCTCCAACATTAATTATAAAGAAATGGAGAATTAGTGAAAAGAAAATGAACCCAACACAGAATTTCCTCATAAAATAGTTATCAGCTTTTTTTATTTCCAGTCAAGATTACCAGAGCAAGACATTTGTTTCATCTGAAAAATTTTCCAGCAAATGAACCAAAACTTCTAATGCTAGCTCCTACATTCAAAAAAAATCCTTTCACCCTGTCTCCGTTCTTCGAAAATGCTAAAAGTATTGTATAGAAACCAGCCTTGTCCTTTTAAAATGGAAAGATGGAATCATGCACAGATAGATTTTGATCTGTAATGTCAACCAATCGGCAATTAAAAGTGTGGTGTACTCATAAAATACCCAGTACTTACAAAAATCCAGAATCTATTTTTCTCTTTGGACTTATACCTTCTATGGAAGGTGAAAATGCTAATTATTTATAAGTTACAAGTATTACCAGCATTGTCAGTTATAAGAAAGTTGCTGTTTGGGAGCTGACGACCTTGTTACAGAGAGGACCCTGTCCTTTCTGCCCCTTATCTGAGGAAATTCAAGAAATGTGCATCTGATTGTTTTCTTAGAAACATTACAAACAAGGGCAAATTTTTGGTCTAGCACATCACTATGATTAGCAGTAACCATGATCACTTTACTCTAGTTGCTTTCCTAGCAGGTATTTCTCGTCAATGAAATGCAAACACAAATATATACACACACAAATTTTGTTTTTTTTGCATTGCTTTAGCTCCCATCCACTGATGTGAGTAAGCCTTCGTTTGGCAGCAGGTTTCTCATGAGAGATAGCTTCCTGCTCTGCTAGGGTTTTGCTTTATTTATTTGTTTAAAGGCACATTAGCAAGCTTTCTTTATTCCTGGCATTGCAGGGTATCACAAAGGCTATGGAAGCATCTGAAATCAAGCCACATACCATCTCCCACTGCAGGATGTTAACACCAGTGCAGTATAGAAAAGCCAGGTTGGGCCCTGTTTAGTCATGAAGAATGGAAGCAAGTTGCACCCTTCTGAAGGCCTAGACTGCAGAGGTTGGGAGAACTAAAAGGCACATTAAACTCAGACATGGGGAAGGGCTAAGGAAGTGCCACATCCTTACTGCATTCCTTCTCTTCCATTTGTTGGAGAGAACTGAACAGCTAGAAGACACAGTTTTAATTCTTCCACAGAATCATCAGTTGCAACCTGCAGCATGCTGGCAAAAGCTCCAAAGCTTGAGGTAAAACACGGGCCTCAGCCTGTGCAAAAGGGCTAGGATTTCAGTCGCACAACCATACTGCAGGCCAGCATTTATTATTTTAATTGCAGGTAGCTGCACTGAGCCTTTGGAAGCAGAGGTTTGCCTGCCGCTCACCTGCATGTCAGTGCAAAGACCTTTAAGACAGTTGAGAAAGCATTAGAATTACAAAGATTTCTCCTCCCAATGCTCAGTATTGTCAGAAGCAGCGTTTCCTATGTAACAGATTAAGGTCATTATCTTTGGCATCCAATTATTCTCTAAACTATACACAGACAATTTATTCCTTAGGTCAGAGCCTCAAAGCACTACTTCCTATAATATTCACAACATACAAATAAGGGAAATGTTTGAGTTCACATCTGGTCGATGGCCATTTTTTCTCTACAGCCATATGAACATTGCCAGTGTAGTTTGCCTCAGAGTATGGAACTTCGATAATGTATCTAGTATTCTAAAGAGCAAATATACCAGCTTGTAATTTTTTTTTTTTTAATCAAGAAAGCCCAGATAAACCAATATACCAATGTTGGCTCTTTTGAGCTTATTGCAAAAGGCACAAGAGTGTTACAGGCAAATTTTGGGTTATGCAGCAAATTGGTTCCCCCTCTCATTTCCTGAAATATACCGTCTGTCGCTAGAAAGCAAGTTCAGAAGAGTGGGAGCTTTGACAGGAGATGCATTCCAGAGCTGTTTTGGTCTTTTACTTGGACTGCTTTAGCTGAAGTGCCAGATCTGGTGAGCATCTGCAGTGTTGCAGGGAGCCATGGATGGATGCTCACCTCTTGCAGACAAACACCAGTTAATTGCTACATTCTTAAGCAGGTGATCCTAAAAAAAAAAAAAGGCACACTGTTGAGATAGAACATAATCAAAGACTCCACTGACTAAAGTGGCTAGGAATTCTGGGAGTAGAACTTTAATAACTCTTTTTGTTTCTTTCTTTTTAACTCTACAGCTAAAGGTTCTGTTAAGCCAAGAAAATGCTCTACACTTGGAGTGTCAAACTCACATCGTCACAGCGGCATCATGTGATGCATCGGGACTTTTCCCCCCTTTGCTAAAACAGGCGTGGGTGTGGCCAGTGTGTGACACATCTGGCCCATGGGCCAGGAGTTTGACAGCCCTGCTCTACACAAAAGGATAGGGCATGCTGGCCATGCTTCCACCTGAGGACCTTACAGTATGGCTCACATTTAGTCAACCTACGCCCTACCCTTTGAGAAAAGTGGTGCAGTCAAAGCTAGAAACAGCCCCATTTGCTGATGCAACATCACCACCTGGAGCACGCTCAAACCACTTCCTGTGTAGTAGGACAACTTTTCTCATCTTCAGGTGCAGGGGATAAAGCTATTTTTTATGTGCAGGTATAGGTGGAAATATATCACTCCCAGCTTCTGCACTGATAAAATCATGATATCTGAAGATGGAATTAGACTTCTGCTTCTTAATCCTTCATGACATTATCTGAACTGCCAACGCTGGTTCTCATCTGGAGGCCTAAGCCAAACAGCCTCTTTTGTGAAAATTTATCTTTTTCTGAAAATCTTTCCATTGACTTTGAACAAAGAAAAAGAAAGATTTCAGAAACAATTAAGTACATATGAACTATTTCCTTAAATAGTTTTGAAACTTCATTTAATTCCTACAGCTACAAAATGAAAACTGAGCAGCTCTTCTGGTTATTGCTAGGTGATGACTGATGTGTCTCTCTCCCTCCAGAATGATGTCATGCAGAGGTAAGAGTACAGTTGATTGGCAATTAACTCCAAGCTGGGACAAAGGATCTCTTAAAAACATTTTTCAAAATTTTAATCTGACAACTGTATGCCTAACATAATCAAAATTTGGCAAATAGATTCCTTTTGTTCAAATGATTTTTGCCATTTCACACAATGCTGCCGGGCAGCATATAAATTAAATACATTTCACTTTTCCTTTTATCCAGTTTCTTTTTCTCTCAAAGAAAACTGCCAAGAATCTTATTCCTTCCTTCCTTCCTTCCTTCCCTTCCCTTCCCTTCCCTCCAGCCTGCCTGCCTTCCTTCCTTCCTTCCTTCCTTCCTTCCTTCCTTCCTTCCTTCCTTCCTTCCTTCGCATATATCTGCCCATCTCACAAACAGGACTCTGGGCAGCACATAAAAAAATCTGAATGTAAAGAAGGTGGGATATTTTTTTTAAAAAGCAAACATTACAAAAGTACCCTATTATTAAACAGACTAGGAAAAGGTATCTTCAATGTTACAAGCAATGTAAGCCATGTAAGTAAATTTCATTTCCCTCAGATTCTCAAGCCTTTTGACATAGCCACATCTTTATAGCAGAGATTGAACTCATCATCTTTGGCATCAGGTATTTCCTTAAATACTTATTATCACCAGCCTAACTCATATGCTACTCTTGCTTCAGATTTTCTTTTGAAGAAAGAGCCGAGTAATGCAAATAGGGACCTTCGAAACGGACTCCGAAATTGTATTTTTAATTGTCGGTACATTTTTAGCAACCAGATGTGTTAATAGATTCCTTAGCAGGAAAGGCATTATATTCTGAACTTTGTCATGTTTGAGTGTGTGTGTGTGTGTGTGTGTGTGTGTCTACAGTAAGAGATATTTGGCTGACATGTAAAGTGAGGCTGGCTGCAGGTAGAAATAACTGATCTGGAAAGAGATGGCATAAAGAACAGCATATTTGTCTGTAAATTCAGATTAAACTCACATGTGTCCGTTCCCATTCTTCATTTTCTGGCACTCGGGAGTGTTTCCCTGTATAATGACAGTCTCCCAACTCAACGGCCCCTTTCTTGGCTCGGAGGCAGAGCTGCTTGCCAATGTTGTGTCGCAGATCTCGCTGGGATGTGTATTCAAAATACTAAAAGCAAAACAGGGATAAGAAGCTTTCACTATTAGAAACAAGACCAAAAATATTAGTATTTTTTCTAAAGGAGATTTTAATACCGTACTTCGGTACACCAATATTATTCATTACATTTTCTGTCTTCACAAATCATCTCATCTCCATATATTTCTTATGTTGCTTTTCATTCTTTGTAGTAGCTACTGAGATCCTATAGATGGCGCTAGATGCTAGCAGCAAACTGCAGTGTCTGATGCCTATATGGGCCTCTTTTTCTTTTTGTCAGAAAGTCACAAAAGGTGATGACATGACCCTGGGACACTGCAAACATCATAAATATGAATCAATTGCCAAGTGTCTGAATTTTGGTCACATGACTATGGGGGATGATGCAGCGATCGTAAGTTTTTAAGTTCTATTGTAACTTTGAAGAGGCACTAAATTAAGTGCTGTGACTCAAGAACTACTTGTATAAAAGAAGTATGTGGGGAATTCAGACACTTGGCAATTGACTCATATTAATGATGCTTGCAGTGTCCCAGGGTCATGTCATCACCTTTTGTGACTTTCTGACAAGCAAAGTCAACAGGGAAGCCAGTTTCACTTAACAACTATGTTACTAATTTAACAACTGCAGTGATTCATTTAACAACTGGGACAAGAAAAGTCATAAATTAGGGTAAAATTCACTTAACAATTGTCTTAGCAACAGAAATGTTAGGATCAATCGTGGTCATAAGTCGAGCAGTGCCTGAACTGATTACTTCCTATTGTGTTCAGACCACATTCATCCATCTTTGAGCCTAACTCTTGTTGGACAAACAAGCTTCTTAAATAACCCTTTCAGCTTACTTTTTTGCCTTTCTGACATTTCAAATTCCCACTAATCAAAAAATGGACAGAAACTTAATCTTATAAACAACAGCAAGGTCGTTGTTGAGTTCTTATCCCAACACTTAGAGGCTGGGCAGGGCTGGGTGGAATGGAACTGATTCCAAATCAATCCTACCAAGACTGAACGGTTGTGGATATTAGGGTCTCATGGACCCAGGGAATTTCATTCAAACTCTTGGATAAGACTTCTCCATTCAGGAATGGTGCACTATCTGAGCTTCTCTTGAACTAAGCTTCTTTTTAAAGAGTAAGGGGTAAGTGGCAGCTTTGACCATTCTTTGCACAGCTCCATGTGTTGCACCAGCTGGAAGGCCCTTTGGTCAATCACTCATGACCTGATACCCAGCCTTGACTACCGTGAGCTGCAGGCTGGACTTCCCACTCCTGATCAACACTGATTGGGACAAGTCTAGGACGAAGGAGATGAACCAGCACAAAACTGTGCCCCACTCCATCCTCAGCTCCCAAAACTGATCCAAATGGAAACCATGATCAATGATATCAAAGACTGCCCAGAAGTTAAAAAAAACCAGGACGGATGTCCCAAAAGTGTTTTCTCAAGACTTTCTTGTTATTCTTTAAAGACGTTTTGCTTCTCATCTAAGAAGCTTCATTTAGTATTTGCACAACAATGGAAAAGTGAAGAGATCCTGACAGATGAGAGTATAATTTAAAAAATATTAGAATGTGCAGAAATGGACAGATTAACACTCACAATTAAGGAAAAAGAAGGAACTGAGTATTTATCCCCCCCCAATTTGTATTTGTTTTAAAATATTTTAAAATATCATTATTATAGAATTAATATCATTGTGATGAGCATTATTGCAAACATTTTTATTATGATTTCTTAAAAATAATTGTACCCAAACAAGACACTATTTGATTGAAACTGAATTTTTACATGTTATATAAATAAAACAAAAAAATTGAAAAAAAGAAAAAAAAAGTCCAGTTGCCTCTTGAAAAATCACCTTTGGGACAACCATGACCTGGATGACTGAGAATCTCCCTAAGCAGGATACCCATCCCGCTCTGCCAGAAATCATCCAAAAGTGTGACCAATGCACTTTCTACCCGATATCTGGGTCTGTATTCTGACTGGAAGGGATCCAGATAATACATCTTATCCAGAATTCTCTGGACCTGCAACCACTTCCTTAGAATGAGGAGATGGGAGACTATGAAAATCAATCAGAACGGTTGGATAAATATTGGAGTTATTGTACTTTGAATATTAAGATCTTTAAATTATTTTTTAAATAATGTATGCTTGTAGAAAAAATGTTTTTGACATTGTGGACATAATAAGACAAGAAATTTATAATGGCGTTTAAGTACACATCTTTAAGGAAGCTCACAGGAACCTGCCTCATG